ACCTAGTAATCTCTTTTTGCATTATATACTATGTCCACCCTCCTGTTCTAATTGACTCTGTTTTGCTTTGTCACATTGGGGGTTTTTTTGGTTCTGTTTTGTTTTGTCTTATTTCTTGTTTTATATTTTTTTTCTTTTCCTCATCAAAGAAAAAGTTATAAGAATTGTGGGAGTAATGGAACCCAAAATGTGTGATTGTTAGCATAAAAAAGGGAGGAAAGAAAGTGATCTAAAGGATATAACTGTAAGTGTATAGGAATGAAAACCATATTACTGAGTTTTTGTTGGATCATTGAACAGAACTGTCTGCAATCTCACTGTATTAATGTCCACTTTGTATGTTTTAATTTTGTAACCTGGACAACTGTTTCTGAGATGACAATATGTAATCTATTTACTAGTGAATTCTTACTGTATATTTTTTCTCTTCAAATTCTATATTACTTGTAGCCTTTTACTGTCTTGCTTTGTTTTGTTTTGTTTTTCTCTTTAAATAAAAAAAACATTTCAAGCATTCTTTTTTTCTTTTCCTTTCTTTCTTTTTTTTATTTTTTTGTTTGTTTTTGGTACTGAGGATCAAACTCATGAACTTGCGCTTGCCAGGCAGACGCTTATGCTACTGAGCTAAATACCCAGCCCCTCTTTCAAGCATTCTTTAACATTGTTTTTATGTACATGTACATTAAGACAAGGAAACATGCTCCTATTAGATGTATCATAGATATAAATACATAAAATAAGTTGAATTATATGCAATGTCTATGCTTCTATACATGCGAGTCTGAAGGTTGTTTGTTTTGTTTTTATATCTCTTGTACCATGTGTAAAGAATTTAGATTTAAATTATAAAATATTTCTGAAGTATTATGCATAGTATATATTGTAAAAAGGCACTGTATGCCTTGTCCCTCATCCTCCTCCCTCGTAAACAACTCTCAGGAAGTCAAGTAAAGGAAGAATTAACCCCACTATAGAGATGAAATACTAAAGTCTACCAGTAAACCTTCTCTCCCATTCTGAAGAAATCTACATAGACAGACGTGATATGCATTAGTTTAGTTTTGTATTCCTCATGGGTTGTTGGAAGAATGTAGTTTTTTTCTAATTGGAGTAAAGGAATTAGCTATGGCAGGTGTATTACTCATCCCCAAATGACCGGCACAGCCCCCCAATGAGACAGGAGACGCTCATGTGGGTGACAGTTAACTGCTGCTTTATTTACGCGGGCTCTGGTTTATATATTTGGCCGTGACCAATCACAGGCTGCCACGAGGAAGCAGGGCAGGAATGGGATGCAGGCTCTGGCTAATATATCCAGCTGTGGCCAATCAGGGGTTGCCACAGAGTCAGCACGGGGTGAATACGGAGTGAGCACGAGGTGGGCATGGAATGGCTAATTTAGAGAGGGACGTAGGGCACTGCAGAAGCTGGCGTGGTCCTTAGTCCCAGGTGGGGTATGGTATGTTGAGCGCCTGCGCCCAACACCCAAACACATTCCCAGCTGATGTGCTTTGTCTCCTTGGATTTTCTCACTCTGATCTTTTTAGAATTATCTCCTTGCTGGTCCTGTACAATATTGCTTCAGGGCTTCTCTAGTTACAGAGCATAAATCTGGAAAGTCCTTTCAACACTCTTTCATGGTCCTCCCCCTCTTCAGCCCTTGCTCTCATTTCATCCTATCAGACAGCTCTGCTCTGGCTCCCCTGACACCCTGCCCTTTCCCTGCTTCCTTGTTGTTCAATGATATCTTTCTGAATCATACGAATATTTTTTGCTTGGGAGTCGACTCTGGTGGAGAAAAAACAGCCAGGCCTGTCAAATCATGGAGAGCCAATGAAGACTCATTACCAGTTGGGCTCAGTCCTGCCAAGGGAATTCTTTAGTGACAGCTACAAAAATAAGTGAGCAGGTGTAGGTCTAAATAGTGACTGCATTTAGCTCATCTTTTCTTTCTTTCCTATCCTATTAGATACCAGGACTGGATGAATGAAGCATGTTTCATGTGGCCTTTGCAGATTTGATGGACATCGCCTGTAGACATAGATGCTTCTACACATTTTAAATGCATCTTTCAGTGGTGCTTCAGAAAGGAATGCAAGCTTTCAGACAGGACATGGTGAAGATAGTTTTCATAAGATTATTTTATTTATGAAAAGAATTATAAATTGATCTAAGAGTAAAGATTCCATAAACAAAGATGACGCACACATAGAAGGTTTAACATGACAGAATCTGCACTAAAAATTCAATGAGAAATATAAGGGGTAATCAAAAATGGAAAATAATTTTTCATTTGAAAAGAGCACTAGTATCTGAAATATTTGCAATACTAGAGAAAATAAAATACTTAATAAAATAATAAAATTCTGGGGCTGGGGATTTCGCTCAGCAGCATAAGCACCTGCCTGGCAAGTGTGAGGTCATGACTTTGATCCCCAGTACCAAAAAAAAAAAAAAAAAAATTAAAAAATAAAATAAAATTCTAAAATAATTTGGAACAGAAGAATAGCTCTGCAAAAGAAAAAGATTATTTAGACAATACATACAAAGTCCACTTATAAAGAGATGATCAATATTTTAAATAGTGCTACAATGCATAACTCACATCACCAATACACCATGTAAAAAAAAATGAAACGCAAGGTATAAACAGGTTGAAGATATTTACACTGCACATAAAATCAAAAGCCTTGTAATTATTAAAGAATAAATGAATGCTATTATGAGTGGATGAAATGAAAATACAGCAACAAAGCTGGAAATTGCACAGAGAACATGTTATACAACTGGAAAACAGGGGAAGTTGAATTAACACTAAACTCTTTAAAATTATTTAACTTCATTTGTAGTGATTATTCAAATGTAAGAAGCAAGAATCCAATTTGCATCCCTCACACTGGGAAATGTTTAAGAATTCTGAAAATAAGTGTGTTATCAAAAATATGAAATATTGAGAAAATACACACTTTTGACAGGAGTGTAAATTGGTCATGCCATTGACCATGTAAAGGGAATCTAAAAATGTTTTTTCCTAACTCAAAAGTTAACAATTTACAGAAACTTTTCATGGTTACATATTTAAAGTTACACAAGAAACCTCATCTCCCACACCCTCAAGCTCCTATGAGCTTAAGTCATGCCCATAGTGAAAAAAAAATTACACAACAAATTTTAATGAACTATGTTACCAAGAAAGTGGGAAAATGTAATTGTCAATCAGTAGCGGAATGAATGGATAAATTGTATCATATAATGGTAAAAACTGGATCAATAAAAACAATGTAGATATAGCTGGGTAAATGGAATAGTGTTAGAAAAAACAAATTCCAAAAATATGATGTTTTTGTGGGTAAATGGATGTAACTTGAGATCATCCTCATAAGTGAAATAAATCAGATTTACATGTGTAATATTGTATTGCTTTCCTAGTGTAAAATATTGAAAGAGTAAATATGATGCCAAATGTATAATAGATTGTATGAAAATGAAAGAGAAATAAATTTCTTGAAACTAAAAAACAAGTGAGATGGGGAAAGGACAAAAGAAAGAACAGGGAAAGGTAGATAGATAGATAGATAGATAGATAGATAGATAGATAAAAGATTTATATATACACAAAAGATAACTATATATATAAAAGATAATTATACTACTAATCACCACTATCTCATCAAATAGAATGCTTTGCACTTTCATCATTTGATTATTTTTATGCCTACATCTTATAATCTGAACTACTTTGAAGATAACAATTTGCAATGTATTAACCATCATTAATCTCTATTATTTTGTTTTGAAACTCTGTATCATCATTTTTATTCATTTTTCATTTTAGAATTTAAAGTGCAAAAATAAAATATGCATGCAGTGATTGCATTTATCAACTTTAAATCTGGAAAACTATATTTACACATATTCATCTAGCACAGATACAATTATCATAAGAAAATAAGTATTTAAGAGCATTACAAATTAAAAGGGTGAGATACACACTGTGGAAAATGTAACTTCATAATATCTGAACTATGTGAAAACAAACATTATGTGAAGATTTAATAATGATTAGTGGTGCTTACAAAGGGGATCTTCACATTATTTGCTATTTTAGCAGTAGAGCTATTTTAAATTTTAAAATGCAACAAATGAAGTCTTACAAGGAGTTTAATAATAGAGGAAAATAGCCAATGTATCTTATGTAAAAAACAATTTCCTAAGAGCAAACAATGAAACAGTAAAGCAGAATGGAAAATATTAGACAATAGTTAAGAATAACAAAATTTTAGAATTTTAGATGATATAGCAGTAAAAACAGCTAAAATGAAAAATATTTATATACAAAAGATTTTTACCTTTAAGAAAAAGACTAAAACAAATGAAAAATATAAGAGCATCATCTTAAAACAGGCAAAGTGAATGATACGTGTTGTCACACAAGGAGTTTGAATCAGCACTAAATACATGTGTGTTACACACATAGAAGCAACTGTCCATAGTTATTACGGTTCAGTCATGGACTAAAAATTATTTAACAATTATAGAGAATAGTAATAAAAGAGTGGAGGAAAAACATCATATCAACAGGAGGCTTACGCACAACAAACACGGAATCCCTAGGGAAAAAGAGCCAGCCCTCAAAACCTGCAAGGAAGTTGCACTGCACCAGTGATGTCATTTGAGAGATATATCTTAAAGCAATTGTCTGGCACCACTCAAAAATATTTTCACTGCTATATATTATGCATAAGTGTAATTTTATAAAACCATTAAGCACTACAAGAATCAAATAAATTTTCATTGCCATAGCATTTGATAATTCTCTTTCATAACTTAGAGCCAATGTGAGCACTGTAGGTGGAATCAGAAGCTCTTTTAAGACTTTTTAGAGCAATAATAATAATAATAATAATTTTTATCTCATCTTTCAATCTCTATGCTTTAAGAAAACAGTTCACTGCCTTGACAACCAGAAATCATAACTAATAATAATACATACAGCTGATTTACAAAAGACTATAAACAATTAATGACAAAAAGTGATTTGCTAATTTTACAATGGAATTTAACTGCTTGAGTAAGAAGGTTGTAGTACATACCTGTAACCTTGTCTATTTTATCTATCAACCAATTCCTTTTGGATAACTTTCTTTATGGCTACTTTAACATCTTTGTTTCTTAGGCTGTAGATCAGAGGATTTAGCATGGGACTCACAAAGATATAAAACACAGCTACAATTTTACCCTGTTCCACAGATGCCTCAGAAGGGGGCCTAAGGTGCATGCAAAACAGTGACCCATAAAAGACGATGACAGCCATCAGGTGAGATCCGCAGGTAGAGAATGCCTTGTGCCTGCCCTCCGCAGAGCGCATGCGCAGGATGGCAGCCGAGATGAACACGTAGGAAACCAGGATGATGCTGAACGAGCAGGTGAGGTTAGACCCGGCCACCACAAACATTGCGGTCTCCTTGACATACGTGTCTGAGCAGGCCAGGACCATGAGTGGGGGATCAGCACAATAGAAGTGGTTGATCTCATTGGGTCCACAGAAAGTCAGACGAAGCATCAGGATGGTCTGTGCCAGGCCATTTGCAAAGCCATAGAGGTAAGGAGCAGCCACGAGAGAGAGACAGACATGTCTGGACATTTTGCTGCCATACAGCAGGGGCTGGCAGATGGCCACATAGCGATCATAAGACATCACTGCAAGTACATAGAATTCTGTGAGCACAAAAGCAACGAAAAAGTTGAATTGTATCATACAGCCAATGAAGGAGATAGTTTTCCTCTTGGATAAGAAATTCACCAGCATCTGAGGAGCAACTGTGGTGGCATAACAGAGATCCACAAAGGCGAGGTGGCTGAGGAAGAAGTACATGGGGGTGTGGAGTTTCGGGTCACTTCTAATGAGGAAAATCATGGTCACATTCCCAGTGACAGTGATGAGGTAGATGACTAAGAAGACCACGAAGAGGACGGGCTGCAGCTCTGCTCGGTCTGTGAGTCCCAGCAGGATAAACTCAGTCACCATGGAGTAGTTTTGCTTTATCATTCTGCTTCCCTGGCTTTGTGTGGGGCTTAGAGGAAAGAAAATAAATATAGATCTCCTTAGAAACAAGCAATGTCTTTCCTGCAAGTACTTCTATCTGGAAATCTTTTATCTGTTTGTAAATTTCTATCATTTTGTTCATTTACTATTCCTTGAACATGTGCATTTAAGATTTCCTTTCTTTCCAAATCCTAATCTATTTTTTGTTTTTGTTTTGCTTTTTTGCATATGTCTTTGCGTGTGATAGACAAAGTATCAGCTATAAACATTCATCTTTTTTTCCAGGTTAATGCATTTTTGGACATGAAATTGATATTGTGCATAGCACTATAGAACTGGTTCTCTTAAGACATTTTTCTTGATGTTCTCTTACTGTGTAATCTGTATTCATTTCCCTTCTTCGTGGTACTTCAGGAGATTCTTTGGACCACAATGAAATTCTTCTTTCCAGTTCTTTCAAATGTTTTTGAAAAATGCTGTAACGTGAATGTAGTATACAGATTTCAAACATAAAATACAGATTCTTCAGATCATAGTGAAGTAACACTTATGATAACCAGATGGCTGAGATGGTACTTAAAATACCATAGATTACATCTCTCAACATTTGGGCAGAAAATAACTGATCATGGAAAGAGGACATTCTCCTTTGATGACATACATCCCCTTATGAGGATGTGACACTGACTCTTTTTGTTTTGACTCTTTTGCATTAATTTGCACAATATTAATGGAATGGAAACAGTTTAAGACACTTTATAAATTGAGCATTCAAGGATTCTTGTGCAATACATTATATGATTGTGCACAAGTCTTTACAGTAAGGAAATATGAAATAAGTAATCTGATTTAGTCAAATTCTAAAAGAATAAATTTTTTTATTTCTTCAGCCTGTATGGCAAAACAGAATTATGTCACAATTCTTGCTAAATGGGCAAACACTCCTTTCATGCTGGTATACAGTAATGCCTTTGTTTATTGAAACGTTAATTGAGATTCAAAATACTTGACATTTCCCTTCACTGTTAACTGTATGGAAAGGCAGCAAGGAAAGAAATTATCATTCCAGATAATTTAATGGAGTACTTTAAGTGACTCTGGAAACATCTAAGAGCTCCTGAAATTTACATTAGAGAGAAATTCTCTGATGTGAAAGCTTCCTGCCTCTGCCCAGTCCTGCCAAGACTCTAAGATTTTGCATTTTGGTTCAGCAAGGGTCTCCTTGGCATACATTCATGGTTCAGTCTGAAGTAGAAAAACAGATTCAGTGTATGCTCTTTTATGAAAATATTTTCAGTTAGCTTTAAATAATTAACACATTTTATATATCAAAGGTTGTCAACCTTCATTCCAGTCCATGTAGAAATTATATGAAGCAATGATTATAATTACAGAGTAGCACTGTGGAGACAAAGATAAGTTAGTATCCTGTCTTATTTTACTACTCCATTTGTGAATTCAGGGAGAGCAGCATTGTTAATTATTGAGAATCAGAGTGTAATAATTACTGGGAGTTCACAGTCCTACTTCATCTGGTTTAAAGTTGTGTAACCTGGGTAAATCCTATTTTAATCAACTTAATTTTCTTTCATGAAATTTGCTTCACTGTGGCAATTGCTTCCATGAGTGGAAGTTAATTCAGGGACATCTTTTCAAATATGTCTGGCATTTGGCCAGCATTTAAAAATAAGTAGATGTCGCTATTTTGGTGGAAGATGCAGGTCTAGTCTAAATCAATATTATAAATGAAAGCTTGTGCTCCTTAGGGACAGGAATTGTACCTATTTTATGATCATAGACTTAGTGGCACCGAATGAGTGTTTTCTCATTTGTAAGCTGTCAGTAGTTACTGATGTTAATGTTTGCTTTGGTCTACTTCTTTCCTGTACGCAAACACTACTCCAAAGAACATTTATTCATAAACAGAACAGAGAAGATAGCAGGATTTTAACAGAAACATTTACTAATTCATCAGATTAAGACTGAGCCAAATCAACCTTTATTGATTAAAATATTTATTTCTGGACTGCATAATTTTAAAAAAACATATCTTTTCCTACCTGAGAAGAGGATGGGATTTCACAATACCTTCTATATGACGAATCTGTCACATTTATAACAGGTTTATGTCACAGATACCAAATCCCTATGGTTCAATTATTTCCTGCAGAAAGCTATTCACATGAGGAACCGTCCCAAACTTCCTGTTCTGAAAATGCGAACCTCACTGAGGAAATCAGTTTTACTTTCTTTTTCTCCACTGTCATTAAGGAATCAGAATCCCCCAAAATGATGAAATAATAGGACTCACTATATATTTCAATTTGTAATGAGGATTTCAATGTATTTTGTTTTTAGACTATTAACCCCTCATATTTTAAGGGTTTTTTCAATTTTTTACAATCTGCCAAATAGAATAGTGCATGTGATAGGGAAGATGTTTTGGAGTCTGAAAAACATTGGAAATCAAGTGTCTAATTGAATAGGATCTTCAGAATTTGAATATAAATAGCCCAGAGCTCTAAGAACCTGCTAAGTTTTAATATAAGCAAATTCTCCCTTTGCTGCTTACTCCATAGAGATGCAAATGCACTGTGTGGTTTTCTTTTTCTTTCTTTCTTTCTTTCTTTCTTTCTTTCTTTCTTTCTTTCTTTCTTTCTTCTTTCTTTCTTTCTTTCGCTCTTCTTTTCAGATAAGATTATATCCAAAAGATGAGAAGTATAAAACAAAAGAGGCCTTCATTCTGAGAACACGGAGAGAGAAAACCAAAACCCCCGACCGCTGGAGTCAGGCTTTCTCTCTGGCAGACACTCAGCGTGGGGGGGGGGGGGAGTATATAAGTAGCCTAAGTTTAGGATAGTGCCCTAGGGCCATTAAAGATGCACAGGTATCTCATTGGGCACACGTTTGGCGCCAGGGGCAGATTCCTAAGGGTGGGGGGAGATAGGGTCACAGGTAAATCCCTAGAGGTGGGGGAGATAGGAGCTCCCTCGTTCCGGTTGAGGCTTTTCTGGCTACAGAGTCCTGTCTGGGCCAAAACTCTTTCACTTTCTCTCTTTCATCTGTCTGGAATTAAGGCATCAACATAGCCCCTTTTATATTTATTTAAAATGGATTTTAGCCAAAGACAGAAACCAGCAAAAGATTAGAATTGGGAGTGAGAGAGGCAAGGGCCAGTGTCTTTCTCATGCTATTCCAGTTTCAGTGTGAACACACCCTTCCTACCTCCCCAGAGGAGCCCAACAAAAATCTGAACAGCTCCATAAAATGTGTTGTGTATTTAGGAATGTTGAGGACAAACAGAATCCTGTGGAAAGACGAGAGGATTTCTCAGGGACACACTCTCCTGAGAGGCAGGGAGTGTGGGAAGGACTCTGAAGGAGGTCCACAAACAGGACAGGCAGCCAGGGAAGGGCTAAGCCAAAGGAGAGTGACAGTGAAAAGCAAAGGCTGAGGCCAGGACCCTGGAGGCTCAGTAAAGAGAAGCCTGCACAGCTTGGTGGGATTCTCTTGCCAAATGAGGCGATATTCAATCTCTCTAAAGAATGTCGTTGTTATGTTTAAAATCAAAATTAATGGCTCTTACAAAAGTAGACCCGCTACATATTCAAAGTTCTAGGTCTGCTTCCACGTGGTACTTTCCAGCTTGAACCTCTGTGGGTGGTCTCTCCAGGGCTGAAACATAATGACTTTTTTTGTATAAAAACTAGATAGGGCAGGGGCATAAGTGCTTGCTTGGCAAGTGCAAGGTTGCGAATTCAACACCAAACGAAAACCAAAACAAAAAGAACCTAGAAAGAGTCCCTATGACAACTTGGCCAGGGTTCATTGGCCTGAGAGCTATTTGCTTTCACTTTCCAACAAATGCTACACTCTGCTTTCACTCTACAGTAAACATTTCTGCTCAGTCCTCTTTGACTCTCTGCCTTGTGCTTGTTTCTGGGTTGAAAGAAGAGCCCAGCGGCAGGGTGGTATCACTCCCTTAGCTCCATCAGGCTTCACTGGGAAATATTTAACCTAAAGTGGCTCAAATTCCTTGAATGCTATCAGTGAATTGCTATCAGTAATTTTGCTTGTATTTTTGATGTTTTTATTATATTCCCCTATGCTAAGCCATCTGAGCAGAATCTGGTTTCATACTCTCTGTTTGAGGCCAGAGAAGCGCAGTTGTTATTCAATAAATAGAGTGGAGCCTTGATTCACGAGTTTAATTCATGACACAATTCTGGGGAAGCCTGCCACAGTCATGTTTATCACCCCATATGGAGCTCACGAACCAAAGAAAATTTTGCTAATGCTTCTGTTTGCAAACTAAATCATTCACACATATAAGCATTCATGAACTGAGGTATGACTGTACTGCAATGGAGGTGATAAAAGTCATAATATTGATTTTTTTTGTTGTTGCTAAAGTTTGGGACTAGCTACGAGTCTTAAAATTGCTATTCATTTCTACAACTATATGGTTCTTGCTATACTGATTATTTTATGGATGTACTCAGCAACAGGATAAGCCACATAATCAAAAATAAATTTACTTGCAACATTCCAGTAATTATAACCTGTGGCATCCCTTTGTAACCCTCCACTGAGTGACAATGCCAAGGAGAGCTGATTCAATAGTCACTTCAAGTTTCAATAATGGAAAAACCAGACATTTTCCAAGCCTTTTACTACACATTGAGAGATGATGATAATTGCTGTTATGCTCACAAAAACATTTATTGAATAACCAATTGAAAACTAATGATTATGGGAAAACTAATTTATTGAATAGCTAATCTCTTGCTATGTATGCATCACTGTAATATGACATATTAATCTCTTAGGAGTTGCCAGAAATGGTAGAGCTGAACCAAATGAAATATCTGTTTTCAGATTTTGAAGAATCTCTAGTCTAATTCTCAAAATAGTTATACTGTTTTATATTTCTATCAACAATGCAGAAGAATTTTCTTCACAACCTGGTCAGCATTTAGTTTTTGGAGTTTTCAGTGTTGTTC